ACATTATTTTATGTACATAACATTGTATGTGAGCATGGTATAAATGTATATTTTTATTTTATTTTTTTTAGAATAAATGTTTGGTTCTATGTTTAGTATATATTTAGAAAATATTTATATTTTTAAAGTAATGTAAAGTTAAAAATAAATTTAGAATTGTTCTTTTAATCCATGTGTATTTATTTTTTTTCTTTAAGTGCTTCAATGTATCTATTTTATTTTGTTTAAAAGCCTCATTAGTATAACTTAACCAATACATAATTGGATTAAGGGTTATATTATGTATTAAAATATTAAGAATGGACAGCCTTAAAACAACTAGATGTCCTTTTCCGATATTTTAAAATAAATAAATATACCACTAGAAAAACCTAAAAAATTGATTGCATTTAAAATTAATTAATTTTGAAGGGAAAGGAAATATTTCATTATTTTAAACTTATCGAGACAATTTGCTAATTTTATTAGAGATTAAGTCTCGGTGTTTTTAATTATTGAATATCCCTTATCTTTTCTAATAATATTCGGATTAATAAATTTTAATTTCTTTCTTTGGTAGAATAATTTTTTTTATATGGAATCCTTAGGAAAAATTATTATATTCTTTTTATTTCAGTTGGGAAGAGAAATATTCGTCTAAGTATTTTAGGAGTATTTTCTCTTCAATTGGAAATAAGAGAATATTTTATATTTTTCCTTAGATTTTTGTTCTATAATATTTGTATGGTTGAATTAGGAATAATGGAATCGTGATCTAAATATATATCGAATTCTTAGATTTCTACTATTTAGAGACATATATAATCAATGGGTACCAATTTTGGGCGTTGTGGGGGTGCTAATCCTTCCCCACACGTAATCGACCCCCGGACTCTTTTTTATTACTAAAAATGAATTTCTGGTTATACGTGGATCGATGCATCTTTTAAAAGAAAATTGATGTTTTTCTTAAAAAACTCTTTTAAAAGAAGATTTTTGGGTATTCGGCCTACCTAACCCAAAAGGTCGATGGCGACTCCCGAAACATTTCTTTTACAAAATCGGGTTTTTCACGAAATGAGTCGAGACTCGTCGTATCGCCGGAAATCGGTTACGACAGATTGGCGACTCCGCTGGGGAACATTAGAGCTCAAGCCTTAAATCGATTATATATGGTGTCTATAGTTAGAAATTGAGAATTCGGTTATATTTAATTTACGATTCCTTTGATTCATTTCAATTGTTATTTAATATCTTTGTATACTAATGAGTGTATTTGATTAATTTTCAGATGTTAAAGTCTCAGATTCGCTTTAGTTCATTTTTGTGTCGTTGTTTGTCAAAGGTTTGATAATTTCTCCTCCTCACACACACACTTGCATTGCATAACATAAGCTATATACACGAGCTCTTCCTTTAAGTGGGAGTGAAAGCGACGTCTTCGTGAGAATTTATTCTCCGTGTCAGACCTAGCAATTAGCTTCCGGGGACATATATCCTATGTCTTCGTGAGAATTTATTCTCCGTGTCAGGCATAGGGAAATGTGCCCCCTCGAATTGAACTCATCCGCTTAAGCCTATAATGGGGTGAGGATTGAGGGTCTGGCTCGCCAAGGGGGCACCAACAAGGACAATTCGAGTACCTTTACTCTTAGAACTGAAACTCTGCATATAATAAACCATAGAAACCCACCCGATTTAAGACCAAGTCGAAACTTTATCCATAGGTACCCAAATAAATGTACAAAGGAGAAATGAACTCTAACATTTTTTTAAATTTATTTTTATAAACGCATGTGAATTAGAAAATTATGCGGTTTAGGTTTATCTTATTATTTTAAGTATATGGGTTAGAAAGCATGGGGTAGGATTGTTATTTATTAAAAGTATGTTTGGGTAGCTATCATGAGGGGTAGGTTTTTTTTTTTCCAAAATTTTATTAACTCATTACATGTACTAACTTGTTTCATTTTGTTTCCTTTCACTTTTGATATTGCATTGCATCATTCAGATTGAGGGTGTTGATCTTTAGTTAATCATCAATTAGAAAGCTTTCAGTAATGGAGAAAGTATTCGAGTCAAATTGTTCAAAACTCCGAGGTACGACAGTGGTCTGAAGCACTACAAAGACAAGAAGGGACAGTTTGCAAGCCGATCATGTGTCAGAATTATTGGGTTATGCTCCTATTTCTCTTAAAAGAAATGACGTCCAAGACTTACGAGACATTTGGGAAAAATGGGATCAAGTAAGAAACTAGTTTTACCAGTGTTATGGGGACATTTCCTATCTGTTGTATGTTGACATAGAGGATGAGTGCTCCGAGCCTTGATTCAATTTTGGAATCCAGGTTACTGCTTCACTTTCAATCAAGAAGATATGGTTCCTACCATCGAAGAATATATTGCTTTGTTGCACATAGAAGAGGCTCAAGAGAATCGGATTTATTCCAAGTCCATCAAAACTCAACCCTTCAGAATCAAATTAGCAAAAATTGCGGGAGTGCGCAAGGAATGGGTGGTTGCTCGTACCAAACAAAAAGGCGAAAGCGAGGTATTTCTTGGACTGCTATTAAAGAAATTATTCAAAGTCATCCTGACGAGAAAATTTGATTTGATCTTTTTGCACTGGGTATTTATGGCTTAGTCATCTTCCCGAAGGCCTTGGGATATATTGAGGCTGCAGTTGTGGATTTATTTGAACAATTACCAAAAAAGATCAACCCTGCTCCTGTGATTTTAGCAGAGACCTTCCGATCTTTGAATGCTTGTCGAATGCTTGGAGGTGGTCGATTTTCAGGGTGCACACAACTACTATATGTCTGGATACGTAGTCATTTTTAGAAAATTGAAAAGATTTCATATCACCATTTTAGTACCAGCTACTCGCCTTTGAGAGAATTCCTCGAGCAAGATTGGCCAAAAGGGTCACTAAAGACATGTGGATAGATGCCTTTAGAAATATGCGAGACAAGGACATTGTTTGGCGCGCCCCTTGGCAAATACAAAGTGAACTCCTCTATAAATGTGGTGACTACAATTGGGTGATGCTGCTTGGTTTGTGGGGAGGAATTGGGTACGCACCCCTTTTGGTTTTGAGGCAATATGATGGCCGTCAATTTGTCCCAGTCACTGTTGGATTGCACTCATCTGAATTCGTGTTTCACGGAAACAATTATAAGAAAAACATCCTTGAGGCAGTTAGAGCATGGAAAAAGACTTTCCGTACTAGAGCTGAGGCAGCCAAAGTGATGTTGACGCCAGATTATGAGGAGTGGAGGTATGCTAGAAAGAATTAAAATATTCCTCTACCTGACCAAAATGAGGATATCTCTATGGAAGAAAGAATTCAGATAGTCCCATCAAAGGTAGAGATCTTGAGAACGGAATTCGAGGCCGAGAAAGAGGGTTGGTCAAAAGAACTGGAGCAGATGCGACAAGACAAATACATGTTGAGTATCGATGCTGACTTTTATGCTGCACAATTTGTAATGCTAAAAGTGAGAAAAGAAAAAATAGAGTCGGATTTAAAAGATCTGAAGAAGGATTACTACAAGCTGCAAAAATCTAGGTCCACAGTTGGGTCAAGCAGAACGTCAGCACAATTAACCAAAGAGTTAAACGAAGAGAAACATCGAGTCAAAAATATGAAGGCAAGAAACGATCGTCTACTCAAGAGCTTAGAGAAAGGGAAGCAAAAAGTAGAAGAGCTTGAGCTTGATAAGAGGGAGCGGATCATAAAATATAAAACTGAGAATCGCGAAGCTATGAAAGAATTAAAAAGGGAGAAAGATTGTGTCAAAGAACTGGAAGATGAAAAGAATAGCATTCTTGAAGGGTTCGAGGCTGAGAAGACCATCATGTTCAGAGGATTTGAAGCCGAAATGAATAACATGCTCGTCGAACTTGATGATAGAGGACAAAGAATCGAAGAATTTGATACTGAAAGGAAGATATGGGAATTGGAAAAGCAACACTTCAATACTACGCTTGAAGCAAGGCAATAGACAACCAACGGCTGGATAAAAAGGTGTGGAGACAAAAATACAGAAGTACGAAGTCTCAATCGAAAGATGCAGGAAAGACATACAAGACTTGAAGAGGATCTGGCTCAGTGTCGGGCTAAAACACAGAATTCAGTGATTACATCCTACAACTCGAAGAATCCTTGTTCCAAGAAAATGTTCTCCGGGGACCGAGTGATCTTCAGGAAAGTCTTGAAGAGAATGCCTTGCTGCAAAAGCGAATTCAACATCTGGAAAGTGCACTGCAGAGTTGTCATGTACGAATTAATGAGCTAGAGCGAAATCTTCAAGGAACTACTGAACAGTGGCAAAAATCAAATGATTTCTATGAAGAACAAAATGCAGCCAGAAGCAACATGGTAGCCGAGACCATAATACAGATGAGTGAAGTTTCCAGATACATTGGAGAACTAACTGTCGAAGCAAAGGTCATCGACCACCACATCAATCCGGTTTCTAAGTGTGGGAAGAAGATGTGTGGATGATTAGTGAAATTGCTGAGCTTAATAGAAGAGCTAGGCCGTATCTGTAAACTATTATATAATGAAACTTTTTGTTGCAATGGATGTTGAACTAAGCCGTATCTGTAGAAGTGAACTATTATGTAATGAAAACTTTTTGTTATAATGGAAGTTGTTCTATGACAATTAACTTTTTTGGATCAATACCTCTTGCATATATTAATTCTTCATTTGTATTTATTTATGTATGAATTTTAAATATTTCGCATTAAGACATGCATTCATTAATTAAAAGCACCAAAATATACGATAAGGTTTCCAATCGCAGCTACCCTGGCCCCTGTTAGCAACAAAGAAACGCAACATTCTTACTATACCAGGAAAGTGAGTAAGAAGATGGACGACAAATTGGACCGTCTCGAGCAAGAGCAGAAAGATATGCAGGCAGAAATGAGAAGTAAATTTGAAAAGATTGAGGCCAATATTGCCAGTTCACAACTGAATATGTTGCAGAAATTAGAGGACCTATTCAAGAAACATGCTGAAAAGTTATGCTGGAAATCCCGCCTCCTCTAACCAAGATTCCATACCCCCTCTAGGGATCACAACAGAATCTGGTCCTCCTCTTGGTTTCACACCTATACACATCTCTGCTCGTTCTTCGATACCTCAAGAAGCTCGATGTCATGCATATGTCAGCAATGAGAATCAACAACAACAAATGGGATCCACATTCCTAAATAGCTATCAGTCTGTTCCAGGAGTAAGGCTAGGAGAATTTAGTACTGAGCACCTAATCCCAGATCTAAATGAGTTAGTCGAAAAGGAGAAAGCCAATGAAGAAATAACTCAACAGTTGAAGAATTAGGAAGAAAGGGTAAAATCGGTAGAAGTGGTTGAATCATTCTATGGGTTTGACGCTAGAGAGCTGAGTTTTGTCCCAGACTTGATCATCCCTATGAAGTTCAAGGTTCCCGAATTTGAAAAATACGATGGTACCACATGCCCTTCATCTCATATCACCATGTTTTGCCGAATGATGGTTGGCCATGTGCAAGACGAAAAGCTACTGATTCACTATTTTCAAGACAGTCTGAAAGGATCTGCCGCCAAATGGTACAACCAATTTACTAGGGCCCACATTAAATCATTGAGAGACTTGGCAAAGGCATTCCTAGAACAGTATCGCCATGTCACAGATATGGTTCCTGATCGGTGGACTCTTCAGAATATGTAAAAGAGAAATAATGAGACTTTCTGACAATATGCCCAGAGGTGGCGTGACGTAGCCACACAGGTCCAACCCCCTTTACTTGAAAAAGAAGCTACTGTAATTTTTGTCAACAACACCTTGAAGGCTCCGTACTTAGGGCATTTACTTGAAAATGCCACCAAAAACTTTGTTAATCTAGTTATCTCAGGGGAGCTCATCGAGAACGCTATAAAGAGTGGCAAGATCGAGGCAGTTGATGGGTCCAGTTCAAAAAAACCAGTATACCGGAAAAAAGAAAACGAAGTTAATAATGCAAATGTATATAACAAGAATACTTCAAAAAGTGTCACAATAACCCAACCAAGAGATGAAAGGAATGACACGAGCACCGCCAGAAATGATTCCAAGGGACCTCGCAAGGAGAATGAGAGAATGTCCTTCACACCACTACCAGTACCCTACTCTGAGATATACGCCTCGTTATTAAAGGCGGATGTGGTGCGCCCTTATCGTTTGACTCCTCTGCAACCACCGTACCCTCATTGGTATGATGTAAATGCATATTGTGATTACCACGATGGAATTACTGGTCACTCTATTGAGAACTGTTTGGCCTTCAAAAAAGTTGTGCAAAATCTGATTAATACTGGGGGATTGCAATTTGATTCACCTGATGTATCGACACACCCACTACCGAATCATGGAGGTAAAGGTGTGAACGCAGTCTATGAGGAGAATAGGAAAAAAACGAAGACAGATGTTGATGAAATCAAATCTCCCTTCATTTGGGTGTTTCAACAACTTTATCATGTCGGCATGGTTCAACAAGATCTTAACTCAAAGCCCAATGAATGTGAAAATTATTGTGAATATCACCAAGAAGAAGGACACAAAATTCAACTTTGCCCTGAATTTAGGGGGTTACTACAAAAGTTGATGGACAACAAAGAAATAGAATTCTTTGAGAAAGATGAGGAAAAAGAGGAGAAGATGTATGCACAACCGAAAATTCCAAGCCAATGCATAAACAAATAAGCCTGTGGTCATCACTGTGAGACCATCTGCGATGAATTCCACGTCAGTGAAGCCAAAAGTTGTTATCACGGCCCCTTCACCATTTCCGTTTAAAGATACCCACAAGGTACCTTGGAACTACACTGCCAATGTTTCAATGATAAGGGGATCTGGTTCGCTAGAGGAAACAAATTTACTAAAGAAAATGATAAAACACCAGGAAGCAGCTTGAAGAATGAAATAGTGAGTGAAGTAGGGCACTTTACAAAAAGTGGAAGGTGTTACTCTCTTGAAACATCAAAAGAAGCAGACAAGGGGAAATTAAAAGGAAAAGCTACAGTGGTACCGCAAAGGATATTTAATGATGAGCCCCTGCCACTAATCAATGAGTCGGTAACTGAAGCACAAGCACAAGAATTCTTGAAATTCTTAAAACATAGTGAGTATAGTGTAGTAGAGCAGCTACATAAGCAACAAGCACGAATTTCAATTCTGGATCTGTTAATGAATTCAGAAGTACATCGGAATGCTCTACTTAGAGTGCTCAATCAAACATTTGTTCCTGAGGATAAACAGTGAACAAGTTGGATCGAATTGTGGGCATATAGCTGCAGACAATTACATAACATTCACTGATGATGAAATTCCTGATGGTGGAATGGGATCGGTAAAAGCCCTCAATATCACAACCAACTGCCATGGTCATGTCTTACCAGGTGTTTTGATTGACAATGGGTCGACACTCAATATTATGCCTATGGCCACATTACGAAGATTACCAGTGGACACTCACATATGAGGGCCTACCAAAATGTTGTTAGAGCCTTTGATGGAACCCAGTCGGATGTCCTTGGAAAGATGGAGGTACCATTATTGATTGGACCAACTGTTTACAATATTGATTTTGTGGTAATGGATATCAACCCATCATATAACTGCTTGCTTGGGAGACCATGGATTCATTCTGCAGGGGCAGTCCCTTCGTCATTGCATCAGAAATTGAAATTTGTGACAGATGGCCAGTTAATCAGTATTGGGGCTGAGGAAGAGATCATTGCTTCTGTGACGACTGACACCCCTTACATTGAGACCAATGAGAATGCCCTAGAGTGTTCCTTCAGAGCCTTAGAATTTGTCAACGCTACTTTCATTGCTGAAGGAAACAAGATTCCTCTCCCGCATTTATCTAAGTTCACTAAGATGACTGTGCGAGAGACTCTAGGAAAATGAGCTAAAATGGGAAAGGGTCTCAGTAGATGCTTGCAGGGGACTTTACATCCCAAATTTGTTATGATGAAGAGCGACCGCTTTGGGCTTGGGTTTGAGCCTGATTCTCAGCAAAGAAAGAAAGAATTAAAGAGGAGATGTGAAGTAAGAAGAGCTAGACTGAAAAGAGAGGACATTCCGTGGGATCGTATGTTTTTCCCTCCCTTAAAGAGCTCATTCAAGTTTGGAGGAGTGAACGATATGGAGCAACAGTTAGCCAGAGCAACTGATGAAGGAAAGCAGATGAAAGACAAAGACTTGTTTGACGAAGCCATGGAGGGTTTTGTCATCAACATGATAACTGGGGACGATAAAGCGGGAAAATATTTGGCTAGAATTCGTCCTTGCTTCCCAGGAGAAACGCTGAAAAATTGGACTGCAGAGGATCTCCCTGTAGTTGTTAAGATTAATTCAGAGTAATACCCAGAACTAATCCTTATACTTGTGCCCGCGAGTATTAACGAATCTTTTTGTAAGGGCAGCTATGTTAACTCTACTTGCTTTCAATGAAAGACATATTTTTGTTTCTCAAATGACCATCATTATTTACATTTTCATTCTTCATTCTTTTTTCTTCATTCTTTACATTCATTTCATAAATTTTGTCTCTCCTCCCTAATATATATTCGATTCAATTTTTTCCCTTTGCAGGTGTCACAATATCAATAGCATGAATGTTTCTAAATTTAATCCTGAGATAAACTTTGAGCGACCCATATGTCTGGAAGAAATCAATGAGTGTCAGGATGAGGTAGAATGTGATGTTCCTAACGAACTAGTAAGACTGGTGGAAAATGAGGACAAACAGATCTTACTTCACCAGGAGGAGACTGAGATTATAAACTTGGGAACTGATGATGAAAAGAGAGAAGTAAAAATCGGCAGTGCACTTTCAGTTGAAATAAGACGAGACCTAATAGATATGCTCCGAGAATTCAAAGACATCTTTGCGTGGTCTTACCAAGATATGCCAGGGTTGAGTACAAACATAGTGGTGCACAAGCTTCCAATAAAGCCTGAGTGTAAGCCGGTTCAGCAAAAGCTCAGAAGAATGAGGCCTGAAATGCTGTTAAAAATTAAAGAGGAAGTGATGAAACAGATTGATGCAGGGTTTCTTCAGGCAACAAAATATCCGGAATGGGTCGCTAACATAGTCCCCGTGCCAAAGAAAAATGGAAAAGTTTGCATGTGTGTGGATTATAGAGATCTCAACAGAGCAAGCCCAAAAAACAATTTTTCGTTGCCTCATATAGATACTCTAGTGGATAACACTGCTGGGCATTCGTGGTTTTCTTTTATGGATGGCTTCTCTGGCTATAACCAAATCAAAATGAGCACTGAAGACATGGAAAAAACCACATTTGTGACTATGTGGGGCACATTTTGCTATAAAGTGATACCATTTGGTTTGAAAAATGCTGGGGCAACTTACCAAAGAGCTATGGTGACCCTTTTCCACGATATGATGCACAAAGAGATTGAAGTGTACGTAGATGACATGATTGCCAAATCCAAGACTGAAGAAGAACACATTCAAAACTTGAAGAAACTTTTCCAAAGATTGAGAAAATATCAATTGAAACTCAATCCAACTAAATGTACATTCGGGGTAATGTCAGGGAAACTCTTAGGCTTCGTGGTTAGTCAAAGAGGAATTGAGATCGATCCGGACAAAGTAAAGGCCATTCAAGATCTTCCGCCACCTCGTATACAAAAAGAAGTTCGAGGTTTTCTGGGAAGGTTAAATTATATATCTTGATTCTTTTCGCAATTAACTGAGAAATGCGACCCAGTTTTCAAGTTGCTTCGAAAGAACAACCCCGAAGTTTGGAATGACGAGTGCCAAAATACTTTAGAGATAATCAAGAAATATTTATCCAATGCTCCAATTCTGGTATCACCAGTCCCTGGTAAACCATTAATCCTTTACCTAACGGTCTTTGAGAATTTGATGGGATGTGTGTTAGGGCAGCACGATGAATCTGGAAGGAAAGAGAGAGCCATCTATTATTTAAGCAAAAAGTTCACAGATTGTGAGATCCGATATCCACCAATTCAAAAGTTATGTTGTGCTTTGGTATGGGCTACCAGAAGGCTCAGGCAATACATTTGTACCATACTACCTGGTTGATATCCAAACTTGACCCATTGAAATATTTGATGGAATCACCGGCTCTAACTGGTAGATTGGCTAGGTGGCAGATGTTGTTATCAGAATTTGACATTGTGTATGTAAACCAAAAAGCGGTCAAAGGGAGTGTCATAGCAGATTTTCTTGCAAGTCGTGCCTCGGATGATTATGAGTCCTTAAATTTTAATTTTCCTGACGAAGACCTGATGTGCGTCACAACCGAGGATGAAACAGTTTCAAATGATAAGTCTTGGAGGTTATATTTTGATGGGGCATCCAATGCTTTAGGACTAGGAATTGGAGCTGTACTAATTTCCCCGGAAGATGTATACTATCATTTTACAAGCAGATTGGAGTTCTTTTGCACCAATAATATGTCAGAATATGAGGCTTATGCCATGGGGTTAAGAGCGGCCATGGAAAGAAAAATTAAAGAGCTCAAAGCATATGGAGATTCCTCACTGGTGGTGTACCAATTGCGTGGAGAATGGGAGACAAGAGATCCGAAGTTAGTGGAATACAAAAGATTGATCCTTGAATTGGTAAAAGAATTTGAAGATGTCACTTTCAATTATCTCCTAGAGAAGATAATCAAATGGCAGATGCTTTGGCCACACTGGCTGCAATGTTTCAAGCAAATAGAAAAGCTGACATGACACCAATTAAAATGCAAATATATAAAACACCGGCACACTGTTATAGCCTAGAAGAAGAGGTAGATGGTCGTCCATGGTATTATGACATCTTGCAATACATCAAGCATCAAACTTACCCACAACAGGCGTCTGAGATTGATAAAAAGACAATAAGGAGAATGGTTGCTGGATATATCTTGGATGGGGAAGTTTTGTACAGAAGGGGTAGTGATCAAGTTTTGATGAGATGCGTGGATGCCCGAGAAGCAAGAAGTATACTTGAAGAGGTGCATGAAGGGATATGTGGAACACATGCAAATGGGCTTTCTATGGCCTCCGTCACCTTTGCACGTGATGACTACACCATGGACATTTTCTATATGGGGTATGGATGTCATTGGGGCAATTACACCAAAGGCTTCGAATGGACATCGCTTCATACTTGTGGCAATTGATTACTTCACTAAGTGGGTTGAGGCCACCTCATATGCCAATATCACGAGGTCTACAGTTTTCAAATTCATAAAGAAATAAATAATTTGTCGGTATGGGCTGCCAGAAAGAATCATCACAGATAACACCACCAATCTGAATAACACAATGATGGTAGAACTTTGTGCTCAGTTCAAGATAAAACATTCTAATTCAGTGACTTACCGTCCAAAGATGAATGGAGCAGTGGAAGCAGCAAATAAAAATATTAAGAGGATCATTACAAAGACCACTGATACTTATATAGATTGGCACGACAAATTACCCTTTGCTTTGTATGCATATCGAACTACAGTGCGAACTTCGATAGGGACAACACCTTTCTCTTTAGTCTATGGGATGGAGGCAGTCTTGCCAGTGGAAGTGGAAATCCCATCACTTCGAATTTTGAAAGAGGTGAAGTTGGATGAAGCTGAATGGGTTCAGGCTCGGTTTGACCAGTTGAATCTCATTGAAGAAAAGAGATTAAAAGCTATTTGCCACGGTCAGATGTATCAGAAACGGATGATGAGAGCTCATGATAAGAAGATTCATCCAAGAGAATTTCGAGAGGCTGATCTGGTGTTAAAAAAGATCCTACCAATTCATAAAGATTTCCGAGGGAAATGGATGCCTAATTGGGAAGGTCCATATGTTGTCAATAAGGCCTTTTCTGGGGGAGCGTTGATTTTGGCAGAGATGGATGGAAAAAAACTGAGAAATCCGGTAAACTCAGATTCTGTCAAGAAGTACTATGCTTGAAAAAAAAATGAATGAATGAAAAAATGAAAAAGTGAAAAAGAAAATGAAAAAAAAAATGAAAAAAAAAAGAAAAAAATGAAAAAATGAAAAGAAAAAAGAAAAATGAGGGTTCGAGATGAAAATCCACAAAGGACATCTTGAAACCAAAGGAAGGCTTTGAGTTGAAAACCTGAAAAGGCGGCTCAAAGGCATTTTGAGATTAGGCATCAGGCAGATAAACCCTCTCGACAGTCTGATATTTTGAGAGAAACTTCACGTCTACAGACATTCTGGCAACCCTTGAAGTCCTCCAGATAGAAGCTCAATTCAATGCT